ATAAAGTCTAAATTGATGGGGCGGGGTGGGTAGTTTCCGGTTGCCGCCCCCCCCCCGTGCCAGGAAATCGATGCCAGCTCCATTACCTCTGCAGTGGTACTGCTGACCTGCCCCATCAGCCACACGCCAGAGCGAGGGGCTGGACCTCACCCTTAGGCACCCTGCCCCCACCTACCCACCAGAGCCCGGCACCCTCCCCAGGGGGCTCTGGGACCAGCAGAGCCACTGGTAACTGGCAGCACCGGGGAGGGGGGGCAGTCCAGGGGCCAGGGGTACACTGGTGGCGGGAACTGGACAGGCTGCAGGTGAGTCGAGTGGTGTGGGAGGGCTGAAGGCTGGCTGGGTAGCGCTCCTGTCCTGGGGACATCCTGCCAGGGCTACCTCCTAGACAGCAGAGAGGTGAGCTCAGGCTGGTCAGGACCCCAAGCAGCCCAGCCTAGCCCTGCCCCCACCCCGTCATGCTGCACTACTCCAGTCCCCTCCCTGCAGTGCGTCTGGGCCTGGCTAGGCACCCACCTGGGCAGCAGGTAGCATTTGCAAACAGGTGGTGCTGCCCGGGTGGGCCCCTCCCCAGGAAGGCCTCAAGTGCCAGGCCCACTCTGGGCTGTGGGCACTGTGCTCTGAGCACCCTCTGGGGACCCAACCAGCATGCGCAGAGGGGCCTGGGTGCCCCTACACACACAGCACCTGGCTGCCTGGGTCAGCCGGGGTGCTGGGTGCAGGAGGGCATCTGAGCTGCGCTCAGGTCCTCCCTGCTGCCGTCTCCCGTGGGGACAGTGCCCTTTCGCTCTGGCCTGGCGGCAGTTGCTTGGGTACGTGGGGAGGAGCCCCGCAGCTCCAGAAGCCCAGGGCTCCACTTCTGCCTGCACCCCCTGGGCAGCTCCTGCACAGCTGAGCAGAGCCGAGGCACCATGCCCTGTCTCGGCCCACGTTAGGACTCCATCAGGCTGACGCAGGGCCCAGTGCAAAGGGACGCTGGGGCACAGGGCGGGGAGTCAGGCTGTTGCAAAGCTCCTGGTCAGTCGGGCGTCCCCATCCCCACTGCCTGCAGGGCAGCATCCTGGGCACCTCACCTCCGGCTAGTCCTTAGGCTTCTGGCACAGCCAAGGGGCTCTGACAGCTGCTGCCCCACAGGCCCACCTCGAGGAGACACGCCACTGCCGGCCCTCCCCCGTCCTCTCCAAGTTGGCCCCCAGTGAACAGAGATCAGGGCCGCAGTGCCTTTATTGGGTCTGCAGTGTGGGTCTGGGGCTCACCAGACCCAGACCAGGGGCCACCTGGTTGAGGAACCAAGAGATACCGAAGATAACGCCAAGTGTCTTGGGGACGTCTGGGTTGTCTGCAAAGGCCTGGGCAGCACCCAGGGGCAGGTGGACCACCTCAATGAGCTCACCCTCCTCAGCCAGGCCGCCCCCGGGGCCGCTCCGCTGGGCGTCTGTCACCTCTGCGTAGAACATGGTCTGCATGGAGCCAGTCAGTCCCACTCCGGACCTAGGGGTGGAGACAGGGCCTGCTGAGCCTCCGCGGGCCCTCCTTGGCCCCCAGCCCGCCCTCGGCCCTGGCAGGCAGGACTCTGGAACGCTGTGCAACTCCCTGGAGCTGGGGACACACTGGGGGATCCCTCCCCATGATTAGGCTATGTGTTGGGGTGCACATGTGATTAAGGATACCACCCAGGGACTAGCGTCCATCAAGAGGGGGAGTGGCCAAGAGGTGCTTTAGGTCAGAAATTATGCTGGGGAGACACTGTCCCGCTGGCCCTGAAGACCAAGCTCTGGCCATGGGGACATGCAGCAAGGACTGGAAGCAAGGCAAGGAGCTGCGGTTGGCTCAGCCCACAGCCATCAGGAATGCAGGCCCTAGGTCACACAGCAGGAGCTGAGGTCACCCCAGAGAGGGCAGGTCTGGCAGACAGCCTGGCCGGGTGAGACCTTGTGCCCTGCATGCAGACACCGGGGCTACAGATGGGGGCCAGGCCGTGGGGCGAGGCCACGGCATCCCAGTGCTCACAGCATGGCAGAAACTTGCTGCGGGCCACTTCCCTCCACTCCTGCTAGGCCCTGGCCAGAGCCTCCACCCGGGCAGACCCAGCACTGCCAGTCTGCTGAGGTCTGTGCCGGAGCCCGACCACGCCCAGGGGCTCCAGGCTGATGGGAGCAGGGCTGAGCCGCAGACCCTTGTGGGAGGGAAGTACAGGCAGGATGGCGTGCTGCGAGGTGGCCAGGCATGGAATGGGGCACACAGTCTGGCAGTGGGGGTTGCCATAAGGTCCCCAGGCCCAGGCCCACTGGTGCTAGGAGAGGCGAGAGAGTTCCCTTGTTGGGTGGGTAGTGGCCAGAGGGGGCTGCCTGCAGCCAGGAGGGGACAGGCACTCTGGCAGAGGAAGGAGGCCCGGCGTGCACGGTAGAAAGCAGGGTAGTGACTGCAGGTCATGAGGACCGGCAGGCCCCAGGCAGGAAGGGTAGCCCAGGAGTGGGCCTCGGGGTCCGAAAGGGTACTGAGAAGTACCTAGGAGAGGTCCAGGGGTGAAGGAGACCTGGACCATCCAGGAGGGGCAGTCGAGGGCCAGTACGAGGCCGCCGTCAGGGTGTCTCCGATGCAGCAGCGCGGAGCTGAGGGCTCTGTCCCCACCCGGAACCCACCCAGTCCTGCTCTCTGGGGACGCTTCCCAATGACCCACCTCCGGCAGCAGCTCAATCTGTGCCTTCAGTAAAGCCAGCAGTGGACTGGGCTTCCAGCCCTTTCCACGAGCAGCCCGGGAGGACCAGGAGGCCCGCCCAGCAGACGGCCAGCCTTCCACCGCAGTCCTGACCCCATGCTGGCCCCCCTTTACCACTGCTCTAACCCAAGCCGTGGTCCCCGGGCTTATCACGGGGACCTGGCAGGGGTGTGGCCTGGCTTACCTCAGGGGCCAGGGAGACACGGCCCTGCCACAGCTGTCAGTCCAGCACCATCAGGCCCCAGACAGCTGCTGTGACCTCTGCCTACTCTGCTTCCAGGCCTACGTCCCCACAGCCACACACCTCTCTCCACAATGCAGCTCCGAGCAGGCTGCTCACTGCCCAGAACCTTCCTTGGCTCCCAGCACCTTCCGAACCGGGGCACAGCCCAGAGGCCCTGCCTGCGGGAGCAGCATAGCTGGGCTGCTTGTGCACTGGCCCCGAGCCTGTGCCCTCTTGCCCAGCCTCTGCCGAGGGTGACACAGACAGAGAGATAGAAAGCGAGAAATCACCCCCCAGAGGGGAATGGCTACCCCACAATCCCTTCTCCTCCATTCTCCTCTCAGGACCTTGGGCACGCACACACACGCGCCCGGCGTGAGTTTTAAGCCACCGGGTCCAGGACGCGAACCGCAGTCGACTACATGGGAGTCCAGTGACATAACCATTACACTAACTGCTGGTCCCCTGAGGGTGACTTCTTCTTAATCAACCTGACCCTCCCACCTGCCTTCCACACCCCCCTGCCCCACTGCCCCAGCTTCTGGCGAAACCCCTAAGGTCAGGGGACCCTTGGACCCCAGCCCCCAGTCGAGGTCCAGGACACAGTGGGCATTGCTTGCCACATGAGGGAGGCCAGCTGTCACATGGAGACCGGCCCTCCGGTGTGGAAACCCCACCTCAGCCTACAGCCTGCTCCACAGCCAGGAGACAGCCAGGTGGCCATTGGGGCTGCTGAGGTAGGAGGTCCCAGGCCCAACTCACATGGGCTGTGCGTGTAGGGGCTGAGAGGTGGCGGACTCCCTGTGGAGTGGGCTCTGGAGAAGGCTGGGTGGGGAGAGCCACTGCGACCCTCCTCCTTCCCCCAAGCTCGGCTGGGTCAGGGCCCCGTCAGTGTCCCAGGGCAGGGCCAGCTTTACCACAATACCCCAGCTGGTGGGTGTCGGGGCGAGTGGGCGTGAACACTGGACTCTGGCAGGGCAGGTCCTGACGCCAGACTCCCTCCTGGCTGGGACTCGGGCTTCCCCTCACCCTGAGCCAGCCTGAGAAGAGAGCTGTGAGTCACCCACCCGCAGTGCCGCTGCTTAATCCCACAGGAAGTCGGAGCATCTGTCAGCAGCAGCTGCCACCGGAGCCTGGCCCCGCACGCTGGGCCGACCTGCCCCAGAGTGAGCCCCGACAGCCCAGGTTCCGGGCCGGCTCAGGGTCTGAGGCGTGCTCCCTCCAGCCCTGCCCAAACAAGGAGGGATCTGTCCTGTTTACACACTCAGGCACGGCCCTCAGTCCCACGCCGGACCACCTCGCTGCCGGCAGGACGCCCCGGCCCGGCCCGGCCTTGGCCCATGGGCCCACCCTCACCTGTACGTGGAGACGTGGCGCAGATCAGAGGGGACCAGGCGGTAGCCGCACTCTTCCCAGGCTTCCTTGCAGGCCACCTCCTCCAGTGACAGCCCAGGCTGGTCGATGAGGCCGGCACACAGCTCGAACGTCACTCCAGCCGAGCCGGGCAGTGCCGGCTGCAGCTCCTGGGGCCCGCCCTCGCCCGCAGCTGCCAGGCAACCCGGGAAGCGGCGTTCCATCTCTCTCGCATACACAGCTGGTTGGGGGAGGGCGGGCCTCAGTCACGCTCACAGAGGCCAGCTCCACGTGGCCCACCTGGGCCAGACCTGCTTGCAGGGTTCAGGTTCCCTCAAGCACCTCCCCACATCTGTGCTCAGACCCCTGGGACCAGAGGGGCCAGCAGGTGGAGCCACTGACCCCCCCACCCCACTGGCTCACCTGGCCGGAACTGCTTCACCAGCACCAAGCTTCTCCGAGAGGAGTCAAACATGAGGACGGTCACACTGCGCGGGCAGCAGGTGGCCAGGGCTCAGCACAGGGCAGCTCCCCTCGCCCGGGCCCCGGCACCCATCCGCCTGTCCCCTGCAGCCCAGGAGAGCCGGGCCCCTTGCCTGGATGGAAAGACCAATGCCCAGCAGGGTGGTGCCTGTGAGGGCCACAGGCAGCTGCGAGCTGGGGCCTCTGCTGCAGCTGGCAGGACAGGATGACCCCGGGGGGACATGCTGGGCACCATTCAGGACTGCTGGCCAGCTGCACCCAGCCATGGCACCAGAGCAGGTGAGTAGCCCCACGGCCCAACAGCCCAGATCAGGAGCTGACCCAGCTCCAGGCTGAGCCCTCAGGGGTAAGAAAGCAGAGGCAGGGCGGGGTGGTTTGTAGGCCGCGAGGGGAGCAGAAAGGTAGGCAGGGTGGGCCGTCCCCTGGGCAGGGTGGGCCATTCCCAGGGCAGGCCGGGCCACCCTCGGGTAACGGTGGCCCTGTGGCACAGGTCCAGCACTCCCAGTGGCCAGGCCAGGGTACCCTTACCTGTCATGCGTCTTCATGAAATCCCACGATTTCTGGGTGCCATTCTGAAAGACACGAGGCAGTGATCAGGAGGGGCGGAGGGACTGGTGGCCCGGGGGAGCTGCTCAGGGAGCCCAGGGGCCAGGCAGACCCACCACACTGGCTGCAGGGAGGCTGACTCTTGGCTGAGGTTGGGACAGCCAGGTGCTCCAGAGGCTGAGGTGGGAAACCAGGAGGGGGGGCAGGCACGGCTGAGCCCCACCAATACAGGCTGCGCACAAGGGGCTGCGAAGGGGTGCACACTGTCACCAAGTGTGGGAAGTGCCATGGGGAACGCGGGAGGGATGCTGACCCTCACGGGTGCGTGGAGAGGGACTCACACAGTGTGGGCTCAGGTCCTCACCGGGCGGGGACAGGGGGCGGCTGGGGATGGGGGGCAGGTCACACAGGGCTGGCCGTGAGCCCAGACACTGGGCAGGGGCCCGCCCGTGGAGCTTCTGGCATGGCTATCTCACACATGCCCTTGGTCCCGCTGGTCCGCAGTGCCCTCTGCATCCCGCTCCCCCACTCCGGGCTCTCAGGGCCCCAGGCAGCACTCGGGATGGGAGATGCACGGCACAGCAGCAGCCTCGGCTGGGCCTGCAGGGGCGACCATGGCCAGTGCTAGTGGGCTCTGGGTGCAAGCAGGGGGCTGGGGCAGCTGGCCGGCAGGGGAAGGGCTCCCATCCTGCAGACTGGGTCTGGAGCCCGGGGTGCCCACCACCAGCAAGCTCGTGCCGTCTGCCACTCAGCTGCCATGTCAGCCCTGAGACCTCGGCCAGCCTAGGACAGAGCCGCGAGGCCAGCCAGCTGTGTACAGACGTGTCTGGGCGCCAAGCTCGGAGTGGCTGGGCTGCGGGGGAGGACGCTGAGCCACTAGGAGAGCATCCTGGCAGAGGTGGCAGATGTGAGGCACTGGACTTCACAGGCAGAGGCGCAAGGGCCCACGCTCAGACCGACTGGAGGCAGAGTCGCGGGAGGGCCACAGCAACCTTGGCTTCCAAGAGTGGGAAGGCCCCATGTCCGGCGGGTCAGGCTGTCCAGGAGGCCGCTGAGGCACCGCCCACAGGGCGAGCCCAGGCCTGCCTGACATCCACCCACCAGGACGGGCCCAGGGAGCACCCAGGCGTCAGCCACCTGCTTGCTCTGCCCGGCTGCCAGACTGCCCCCTCAGGGACGTGCCACCTGCGCGACTCTCAGGGACCCTCTCAGCTCCAGGTCAGAAAGTCTGTCAGACCCTCGTGCACACCGGCCAGGAGCAGGAAGGCCCAGAACGGGGCCTGGGAGACCCATGGGACAGGAGTGAACATGGCCCCATCCCCTCCGCCAGGCCTCCCCTGCCTGATGAGGCAAGGCCCAAGGGCTGCAGATGGTCCTCGGTGGCACGTACCGCCAGCCCGACGGCCCTGGCGCCCTGCGGGAACACGGCCCTGGCCTGCGTGCAGCCTGCACCAGCTTAGCTCCGGTCACTGGCACCCACCAGCAGAGCCACACCACCCCTCAGCCATGGCACCAGGGCGGGTGAGGAGCTCTGCGGTGGGTGGCGCTGGCGGGCTGCCTGCCAAGGCTGCAGGGGCTGGAGCGCCTGCCGGCGAGCAGGAGAGCACTGCCACGCGGGCAACGCTGCACCACTGCTGCTGACGAGCAGGCGCCAAGTTGGCCAGCGCCCTGCCCCACCACAGATAGGGGAGGACAGCGGCCTCCATGGCCCTAGCCTCTGCTCCCCAACCCAGGGGCTCCCCTAGACCTGCGTTCCCAGCTGGGTGGCATCCTGGGACAGAATGGCTGTCCTCAGGGCCAACGGGTGGTGAGGGGCAGGGGCTCTCAAAGGCCTGGATGTGACAGGAGGTGCAGGTGTACCAGGCCCAGGACGGGCAAGCAGGACTTCCTGGGAGGCCCAAGGAGCGGCCATGCCAGGTGTGGCTGGAAGGCTCCTGTGGACACTCCAAGGCCTCCAGCAGGAGACAGAGAGCTAGGGGCCCGGACTGGGCAGGGCCATGAAGCAGTGCCCAGGAGGCCCAGCCAGGGCTCAGGGACCAACTGGATGAGGAGGAGGGAGGCGCCAGGGACTCATTCACCCAGCAACGACCTCCTGACGCAGGAGGAGCCCTGCCTGTGAGACCCCTGGCAGGAAGCTCACCTGGAGAGGCTGTCTGAAGCTCTCCGGGGTCCCTTTCCACTCCCTCCCTCGGCCTGGGAGCTGCGCCCCTTCCACCCAGCCCTGGCACAGGGGCCACCACCTCCGTGAAGTTTTCTCTGACCCCAGGGCAGCCAAGGACTCTCACTGCAGAAGGGACGGGCAGAAAACGGCAGGCCCAGCCCAGCTTCCTAGACTGGGAGGATGTGCGGTCCCCCAGACACAGAGCCCGCAGTGGGGCTCACCCTCTCGGGAACCCGCCACTAGGCGGGCGCAGGCGGGCTGCGCTCCAGGAGCCCGGGCGGTGAGTGGGGAGGAGCGGCATGCGAGGCGGGCCCTGTGGCGAGGGGCGTGACACGAGGGCGGAGCTGTGGCAGCGTAAACGGTCGCAGGTAGGGCGAGGCTGCGCAGCGGCCCACAGCCACCCCCTCGATGCGCTCCATGGCGGCGCGCGGAAGAAGGCCTAGGGCCCAGGGCCGACGCGGGGCAGAGTCCTCGGCGGACACCAGCCAGCGGGCGTGTGCTCGCAGCTCTGGGCATGCCCAGTGCGCGCGCGGGGCGGGGCAGGCCACGCCAGGGGCGGGGCGGACCGCACGCCCGGGTGGCACCTGCCTCGTGCGACGCGCAGGTGGGACTCTGGTCGCCCTGGTGCCCGGAGCGGCGCAGGGGCGTGGGCGTCGCGCAGAGTGCGAGGGCGGGAGGGCTCGCAGGCCGACCTGGGCTGGGGCTGGCTGGTGTGGGGCGGGACCTTGTGGTTCGAGCAAGGACCCTGCGAGCGGGCCGCGGCTGAGCTGCTCTGGGAGAGGAAGAGCCGAACGAATGCCCCTGCTGCAGGGTCGACCCCAGCCCGAGAGGAGGTTGTCCAGGAGCGGGGCAGCCCTCCAAGGAGAAGCCGGGTCCCGGGAATCTGGGAGGCCGAGGCTAGTGGCCATTGTTGCCCCGGAGCTCAGGGCAGGGGGACAGGAGAGGTCATTTGAAGGTGGCACGCAGTGGGGGAGGGTGTGGCCGCTTCCCGCGGCCAGTAGGAAGAGCAAAGGCTCTGGAAGGAGGGCCAGAGGAGCCAGAGTGCGAGGGGTCAAGGGCAGTGGGGACTGTCCACCTTGGCCGACTGCCACTCCCGGTGTGGGGGTTATCCCTCCTCACTCCCAAGCCCCAGCCGCCGCCTCCCGCAAGAAGCCTCACCCTCTAGCGGTCCCCAGGCCGCTGGGGATAGACAGCAGTGAGAGGGGGAGACAGCCCTCCTCCAGCCCCTCTTGGGGTTTTAGGCACACACACTCACATATCCATCTGGCATGGTTCTCAAGCTACAAGGTCCAGGACTCAAACCACGTAGTAGACCGCGGGGATCCAACACCCTAACCTGGCCATTGGCGGCCCTGATCTTACCTTCTGATCTACCTTTTTCTTTCTAATGCCAGGGATCACACGCGTTTCCTGGAGAGGGGGGCATGGTCACACCTGGTCCTTCTCCCTCCATCCCTCCACCCTGCTGCAGTCTGGAGCACACACACATGCACCCAGTGTTTTTCTTCTTTCTTTTTTGAGAGGTTTTTGCTATAGGGCGCGTGCACTCACCAGAAAGAGACAGAGAGACAGAAAGTGAGAAATCACAGCCCCCCCTCCGGGGGGATGGCCACGCCGCAATCCCTTCTCCTCCATTCTCCTCTCGGGATCTTGGGCATGCATGCACACACGCGCCTGGTGTGAGTTTAAGCCACTGGGTCCGGGACTTGAACCTGGTTGACTACATGGGAGTCCAGCGACATAGCCATTACGCTAACTGCTGGTCCCTACCCAGTGTTTTTTTCAAGCCACTGGACTGGAATTTGAACCACAGTTGGCCACATGGGCTCTGACTCCCTGTGCAGGGCCTACCCTCTACCACAGGGCCAGCTCTCTCTCTAAAGCCCCTTCGTTGTACCCCTCCTGGGTCTGCCCTTGCTCTCTACTGTGTTCTTTTGTAGACACAGGGTCCTCACTCGGTGGGGGAGCCTGTAGTTGGTTCTCCAAGCCCAGAATTTCTTCCAGTTTGTGGCTGGGATGTTGGCTGGGTGCACTCTGAGCCTTGGAACCTCCACAAAAGAGCCTCTGGCCTCTGGGCTGAGCCACACACACCCAGGGACCCCCAGTCCTGCCCACCTCAGAATTCAGGTTTCCTGGAGAACCAGCCAGCCCAAGGTCTGTCTCCAAGCCTCCTTCTCCATCCCAGCGCCCTCCGCCAGGGCTGGCACTGCCTCCGCATCTTACTGGTGCGGGTTTAGGCAGTCTTTAGACCTGGTTGTGCAAGTTCCTGACTCCCCCCCCAGATTAGCCTGTTACTGGCCTTGGGTTTTCTGTACCGATGTTAGAGTAAATCTGACAGGATCAATGAGGGGGGTTGCATGGGTTTGCCATGACCTGGGACAGGCATGTGTCTCTGGGACAGCCAGAGATTAGAGAAGGCTCCCTGCCCACTTGCCACTGTTGGCTCTGAGTTCTGCTCACCCTGGCCATCTTCTGCGTGTGCTGTCGCTACAGGAATCGCACCTGTGTCCTTAGACTGGGCTCAGACAACCACAGTGAGCAATTGGCGTTAGACGACTGGATGTGAGAAGGGTTGCGTATGTAGAGTATGAAGCACATATCTGTGGGGGTCCAGATGACAGACACCAGGAGCCAGGCTAGTGGGCAGCCTGCTTCTGCACCCTGGAAACCACCAGGAGGCCTCCCCTGACCAACGCTACCTCAGCCAGACTGTGTACTGCCCCTCCCTTCTGTCCACGTCCTCAAGCCATGTTCTTTTTCATTTGGACAAACTATGACTGGCTCATTGGTATGTTGGCCACAGACCCTCAGGGTCAAGGTGGCATCACTCTTCCAACTGCAGAAGTCTCCCTGGGGCCAGCAGTTCGGCAGGGACCTTGTGACTTCAGGGATGCCCAGTCCCCCCAAATCAGCACCTGGTGGAATTGGGGAGCTGTTCTAACTTCCTAGGCTTTGCCCCGTCCACTCAGGTGCCACACAAAGGTCCTTGGCCACCCCACAGGTGCCACTTCTGTCGCTCTAATTTGGATGGCTGACTGCCACATAGGTGCAGTGTCCTCCAGATCTCTCCTTCCACAACCTCTGGGGGTCACTCCCCAGCCCTCTGTCAGACCCCAGGCCCATTTGCCAACTCTCACTCTCACCTGTGCTGTCTCTGCAGTGGAACATGTCCCCAGTAGCTCCATGAAGCAGCATGTAGGCATCACACATGTCAAGAGTATCCTTGTGGGACGAGCAGTTGGCATAATGGCCATGTCGGTGGACTCCCATGTAGTCAACAATGGTTCAAGTCCTGGACCTGGTGGCTCAAACTCACACTGGGCACATGTGTGTGCCCAAGATCCCGAGAAGAGATTGGAGGAGAAGGGATTGCAACGTGGCCATCTCCCCTGGGGGGTGATTTCACACCTTCTGTTGCTCCATCTCTTTCTGTCTTTGTGGTGAGTGCACACGTTGTATAGCAAAAAAACAAACAAAAACTCATTATTTTGCCTATGGGGTGACAGTTGGGCTGGGTATAGAAACCTTGGCTGGAAACCACTTTCTTCCACCTGTCACAGGCACAACCTTGTCTGTTTGCTTCTGGGGGCCACTGCTGTTCCTCAAGTCACTTGAGGCCTCCTTTGGGAACATGCTGGTGCTAGAACAGAGCATGTCCTCTATGTCTTGCACTATGTGAGCCGGCCACACCTGCTCATCAGTGCCTGAGGGAGGAGCTGGAGGCAAACTGGAGTGTGAAATGATACCCAGGATCAAACTCAGAGCGATGGTGCTGGGCAGCAGAGCTGGCTGCAGGCAGATGACCCAGTGGCTCTATGGTGGGCACGTGAAGTCTGTGTTCTTCTGTCCACTTTTGTGTGTTTGAATTTTTTGCCATAAAAAAGAATTCATAAAAAGAGGATTGATGCAGGGAGGAGGCAATGGGCACCAGGAGCAGACAGGGCTGTCGCTCTGGCCTTGGCTGCTGAGTCTTAGCAGAAGTTCTGAGGCCATGGGGCCACACAAGTCCTTGATGAGCCATGACCAGTACTGACAGGTCCAGGATGAGTCAAGCACAAAGGACTGAGGAGAGTTGGGGATGGTGAGCATCAGGTGGGGCGTGGCTCCCTTTCGTGAGCCAGCTGTCCGAGGCTCTGGAGTTCTGTCGAACAGACCAGATGGCAGCCTCACATGGAGTGAAGCTACAGCCCCACCTCCCACCACACTGATAGTGAGCACCTCGAAGCAGATAGAAACCACAGAACTCTGAGAAGAAATGAGGGGAAGAGGCCTTGTGGCCTGGTGGTGCTCACTTTTTGGTGTGCAACTAGGGCACTGGCAGCCAAAGGAGTGCCGTGCAGAGGGCTCTGGGGAGCAGGACGCACGGGGCTGCAGAGCAGACAGCCTCACCTGGCTAGGAAGGGCTCCTGGCTCACATCCAAGGACCCCCAACCCCGAACATGCAGGGCACACTCGTGCCCTGGTCCAGGCTGACTGACCTGGGGTCTGTCTCCTCAGTTATGGAAGAAATAAACTCTTTCACAAATCACAGCTTTCGGGGGCCAGCAGGTAGCGTAGTGGTTAAGGTGCTGGACTCCCACATGACTGACTGCAGTTTGAATCCCAGACCTGGTGACTTGAAACTCATGCCAGCTATGTGTGCGTGTGTGCCCAAGATCCTGAGAAGAGAATGGAGGGGAGGGATTGCGGTGTGGCCACCCACCTGGGGGCAATTTCTCATTTCCTCTGTCTCGAGCAAGTACATGCACTCTATGGCAAAAACCTTCTCTTAAAAAAAAACAAAAACAAAAACAAAAAAACCCAGCTTTTGGGGCCAACAGGTGGTGTGGTGGTTAGGGCACTCGGCTCCCACATGGCTAATCGTGGTTTGAGTCTTGAAACCGGTGGCTTGCTTTCCCACTTCCCCTGTCTCTGCTCTGGTGGGCATGTGTATGCCTTATTGCAATTTTTTTTTTTTTGGAGAGGTTTTTGCTGTAGGGCACATGTGCTCGCCAGAAAGACAGAGACAGACAGAAAGAGAGACATCACCCCCCGGGGTGATGGCCATGCTACAATCCCTTCTCCTCCATTCTCCTCTTGGGATCTTGGGCACACACTCATATGCACCCAGCGTGAGTTTAAGCCACCGGGTCCGGGACTTGAACCATAGTCGACTACATGGGAGTCCAGTGACATAGCCATTATTCCAATTTTGCTAGTCCTGCAATGTTTTTTCAAGAGCGATTTCTCTCTATAGGGTGCATATGCTCACTGGAGAGACAGAGAGGGACAGAGAAACAGAAAGCTAGCAAATTTGAAAATAATAATAGTAATAAAATTAAATACTTAAAAAATCACAACTTTAAGGCATCTAAAGATGGATGACAAGTGGGTGAGGCAAACTGTCCACATGATGGGTTGTCACTCAGACTGACAAGTGAAGGCCATTCTGTCACGTGCTGCCAAGTGGATGGACCTCTAGGACGCCCGAAGGACAAGTCCCTACAGCGTCAGACCCAGAGGCAGAAAGCAGTGGTGGCCCCAGGGCTGGGGGAGGACGCGAGCCTTTAGTGGAGCCACTCTGGGTTTTGCAGGGGGAAAAGAGAAGCGGAGGTGGCCGGTGGTGGCCATCCGTGTGTGAGGGGCTTACGCCAGAGCTGCTCGCTGGGGGGTGACTGCCATGGCGGATGTCATTGGTTTGTCTCTCCTCTCTAAAAAGGAAGAAGGCGGCGAGAGGCGCGGGTGTCTTTGCCAGCGTCCCTGTGGCTCGGTCCCCGGCCTCCTGATGCTCACACAGCCCGCCCGGGGCTCAGGTCAGCCCAGTCCTGGGCACTGCCACGGCTGGACGGACAGCGACCTTCACAATAGAGGAGAACACCCTAGATGTTAGCGGGTCGACTCTAGCTGAGAAACATACTTTTCACTGCATCTCTTTAAGTACTGTTTGAATTTTATCATGGCATATGTTTCTCTTTAAAAAAAAAAAAAAAGAAAAAAGAGGGAAAGAAAAAAATTGGGGGCCAGCCTCATAGCCTAGTGGTAAAGGGGGCTGGATCCCACATGGCCAGCCATTGTTCAAATCCTGACTTTAGCGACTCAGAAAGCACACCAGGATGGGGCCAGCAGGGGGCGTGATGATTGAGGTGCTGGCCTCTCTCAGGGCCCACCACGGTTCAAATGCTGGACGCGGTGGCTCAGGTCCTGGACCTGGCAGCTTGCCTTTTCACTCTCCCTGTCTGTCTCTGGGCTAAACTGAAGAATAATGATAATAAGTAAAATAAAAATCACTCTTAATACGCACACACGCACACACACACACAGGGCACATGCGTGTGCGTGCCTTCAACCCCAGTGGGAGGGGACATGGAGAAGCGTCGTAGGTGTGACTGTCCCATCGGGGCTTTCTCCATCCCCTCTTTCTCCATCTCTCTCTTTTGAGGAAAAAAAAAACCCACCTTAAAAAAACGGGGGGTCCTGGGGCCAGCAGGTGACATGGAGGTTAAGACACTAGATTCCTAAATGGCAGACCAGTTTGAGTCCCGGACCCAGCAGCTTAAAAGTCACCCCAGGCACACGTGCCTATGTGCCCAAAATCCAGAGAGGAGAATGGTGGAGGGGTTGGGCCTGCCCCCCAGGGGGTGGTTTCTCACTTTCCTTCTCTCTTTCTCTGGTGAGCACAGTGCTCACTATGCTGAAAACCTTAAAAAAAAAAAAAGAAAAGAAAAGAAAAGAAAAAAGAAAGAAAGAAAAGAGGAGGGCCCGGCAGGTGGTGTGAGGTTAAAGAAGCGGGCTCCCCATGACCAGCTGTGCAGGCCGGGTCCTGTACCCGGTGACTTGAGAACCACACCGGACGCGTGTGCGTGCGTGCTTGAGACCCAGAGGAGAGTGGAGGACAAGCTGCTGCGTCCTCTCTGGGAGGCGGGTCTCACCTTCCCTGTCTCTCTGGCAAGCGCACATGCCTCCTAGCAAGTTCTAAACCCTGGTTCAGCTGGGACTGTGTTCTTTATTCAAGAGCGTAGGGGAGAGGAGCGCCCTCCGCAGGCCAGCCAGCGCCAGAGGGTGACTGCCGTGCTCCACTGTCACACAGAACCACAGGGCTCGAGGGGCGGCTGCTGGCCCATGCCCCATGGACTTCCGTGGGTGAGGATGTGGGGGATCTCAGGAAAGGGCCCTGGGCAGACCTGGCAGGCCAAGGTGGGAAGGCCCATGGGTGGGCCACCCCGTGGCACCTGGGCTCCCTCCCCCTCAGGCAGCTCCTTGGACCCCGTGGCCCTTCCCCCTGAACGCACCCACCCTTACATTGGGGCCTTCTCAGAGGTCCTGTTCTCCCCTCTCTTCTGCCATTGTCCACAGGGCCGATCCTGCTCCGTCACCCCACTCTTGACCCAGCAGCCACCTCTGCACCCCTCCTCTGTGCGCCAGAGACCCCGGGTGCAGAGGGCCAGCTGGCAGCTCTCCGTGGTCTCCAGCAGCGGTCCCCTGCTCAAAGCCCTGTTCCAGCCTGGCTTCCTGGGCCTTCCCCGGGCCCACCAGGCCCCCAGGGCTGGGCTCCTGCGGTGCATGTGGAGCTGGGAGAGGCACAGTGTGGGCAGGGCTCTCCTACCCCCAACCCCAGCTCACCGTCCTGACGATGTGGGCAGGGGCGCCTGCCACCCAGCCCCTCACAGTGGAGGCCTGTCGGCCTGTGCGCCTGAGGGCAAGTGACACCACCCCTAACCACTCAGCCCAGGTGGGGCTTGGTGTTAGGCCCCTGGGGCAGGGTGGCCGTCTCCCCAGATGCTGAGAGCCTGGCATGGGGAAGCCTTGCCGACAGGGACGGTGAGGGTCTCGGCAGGTCTGCGGACCGGGTGGACGTGGCCCCAGCCAGGTCCTGGAGGTTGCGAGGGGGAGGCGGAGATGGCCTCCTGGTGGGGTGAGCAGAGGGTGGCGAGCTCGCTCTCCTGGCCTTTGGCCCCTGGCCCCTTGGGCAGGCCCAGCCCTGCCTGTGCAGTGTCCCCCTTGGCCGCTGTGTGTCCCAGGCCCCTGTGCTGAGGCTCTATTCCCAAGCAGGCGCCCCCGGGTCTCGGAGGGAAGCAGCCCAGCCCCGGGCCCGGGCTTGGGGAGCCACCGGAGAGCACCACGGGACAATGGCCTCCACGCCGGACTTCCCCTGGGACAGAAGACGGCCGCGTGGAGCACAGCTTCCTGCGTTTGTGCTGGCCCGGAGGGTGACTCACAGACGTCCCCGGGGAGGCCCTTCCTCCCAGAGCTGGGCGCGGGCATCACCGGGCTGGCAGGCAGCACAGGGCTTCC